GAAGAGGATATGAAAATGAGCATTTTAGCTTTGGGGGATACTTAAAGGCTAGAGTAAAACACACACACACACACACACACACTCTTTAAATGTTGAACTGAAAATGCATGCATATCTTTTCTATGTATTTGTGTGTATTGGTGTATGTATGTGTGTGTCTCTATATATAAAATTATTAAATGTTGGATTTTTAAATATTGATAAATACTTTGAATCAAGCATTAAAATACTTAAGCTGAGTGTAGGTGTTTACTTTTCTTTTTTAAGATTTTATTTATTTATTCATGAGAGACAGAGAGAGAGAGAGGCAGAGGGAGAAGCAGGCTCCCCGTGGAGCAGGGAGCCCGATGTGGGACTTGATCCCAGGACCCTGGGACCATGACCTGAGCCGAAGGCAGACGCTTAACCGACTGAGCCACCCAGGCGTCCTTAGGTGTTTACTTGATTATGTACTGTTTTGCTTGGACAAAAGTAGATCTCTCACAATGCCACAAGAGTGTTTAATGTTTCACTAGTCTAAAGAAACTGATATATTTTTGAAACAGTGTTGCAGAATTTTATTTACGATTATAGATCTGTCTGATGTTCAGAAACCTTTTTCAGTTTTCTCACTTTCTTCTTTGTTGTAACAAGATTTCATAAAAAGCATATGCTTACAAAGTGCTGATTAGATCAAGTTGGGTGAAACGGATAACACCTTGGAAAGACAGTACCATGTCAGACATCAAAATAACTTCAAAAATTTGGAAAAGTGTCCATAAACAAACAGGATAGAATGATGTCTGCTGACGAGGAAGGAAAAAACAAGAAAAATAAACTGAAAATCGTCTATGATTACTTACTTGCAAGCCTTTAGAGCCGGAAAAAAAATCCGCAAGGTGCCGCTAATGTAATGTGGCTACTAGGAAAGTGTGTGCAGACTTTGTGCATATTAACAAGGGCATCTGAGGTGGGGGGTGAAAGAAATGTCCTTGCAGTCTCAGTTACTTGTCAGAGCTGACCTCTTCCTAGCTCCTGGTGGTAATTGTACTGACCAACACAGGACTTTCCACTATGCAAAATTCCATGGGAACACGGTTCAACAGAATATCATAACTTCTCTCCATATTAGAAAATGGAATTTGAAATGTTTCTTCCATGATTCCAACCTTTGTGGCTGAAAAGAAAAGAAGGGAAACAGAAAGCTCTCTTTTGCCTTCATGTAAATGTTAGTAATCATACTAATAATGTTAATAGTAGCCAAACCTTTAATGCAGACATTCTTCATTACAAAAATAAAACGATCACCTCAGTAAACCTCAACTGATGTTTAAAGAGATAAAGTCAATGACTAATGTCACATTCTGGTAGGTACTGGCATCAGGGCTCAACGCAGATGTGTTGGGTCTACAGTGCCTACATTTCAAATTCCTCCTCCTATCACTGGCTTCTCTGCTAGCTGCTCAAGTCTATTCCTTGTGGCAGAGTAATTTGAGTTACCTGGCTTCCTTCACTTAAGATCTTTTGGACCTTGGGGCCCCCTAATGTTCCCCAGTGACTCCTTCCTACTGCTTTATACTCTCCAACCCATTTCCTCCTGCATTTGGCCTTCCACTAGCACCTTCCTCTGATTGGAATACCTACCTAAAATTGGAGGAGAGATTTGCTTCTGCCCACTAGATAGAGCATTTTACCCTCTTGCAGGATTGAGGAGGGAAGCTATCCCTTCTGCATTTGGGGTTTCCCTCCTTCCTCCAGGGGGAAGGAGAACATCCTTCATCCTGATACTACCTCGCCTTATCATAAAAAATATTTTGTCTTTTATCCTGGAATGATCTGTATTAACTAAGAAAAAGTATATGCTTAAGAAATCAAAAGACCCAAGGATTACATGGAAAAACAAATTCTTAAAGTTTTGGGGAGTGATAGCACTGGATAGAAAATTAAACATAAGATCTAAAGGTCAAAGATACAGAAGACAAATAAAGAAATATCTTAAGAGAGATGGATGGTGGTGGGTGATTCTATTTGCATTGAGGATATGCTGGACATCAAGAGCCAAAATTAATCAGTTTAATAAGAGTTTACCTAGTGTCAGCCACCTGGCTGGATGTTAGAGAGAAAACCAAAGCCCCTGCCTGCACAGAGTCTGGGAGGATCCAACATCAGTGAGGAGTAATTAGAATAAAGAGTAACAAATACTCTGGCAATGGCCAGCAGAGAATAATAATGCTGCCTCTGGGAAGGATACTTGTTTAATCCCAGGGATTACAGAGAAGGACTCCTTTGATAAATGATGTTGGAGTCAAATCTTTTGATGAACAACTTCAATAACCATGTAGCTGATCCATCTGGCTCACTGATCTCTTAGTAGTTTGACTTCTTTATGCCTGATGATAAAAATATGAAGATTGAAAAAGTCTTGATTATGAGATGCAGAAGTTAGAGTAAGAAATCATTATAGAGATTATCAATAATAATAATAATAAAATAGTAATAATGATGATGATAAAGTATTTGAAAGTTCTCACTTTAGCCCAGCATTATCTGTCCAAGTGATTCAATAAATACCAATGACTATAGTTCTATCTGGATAAAAGTAAAAAATGTCATACTCTCGCTAAGGCTGCTGGTACTTCCATTAGTAAAAGAGCATCTGCCTTTGGCTCAGGTCATGATCCCAGGGTCCTGGGATCGAGTCCCACATTGGGCTCCCTGCTCAGCGGGAAGCCTGTTTCTCCCTCTCCCACCCCCCTGCTTGTGCTCGCTTGCTCTCTCTCTCTCTCTCTCTGACAAATAAATAAATAAAATCTTTAAAAAAAAAAGTAAAAGAGGTTCTGAAACACGGGAAGAATTTCTCCTCTTCTCTCCTATGCATGACACTTATGCCCCACCCTTGATCTCCTCATTACTGGAAACTTCTTTCCCCCTAAGCATAAGCCTCTGGCTTCTGAATTCAGATCAATAGCTCAGGCATCCTTTTAGAGCTGCAGGTCTATATTCCAGTTGCCTCTTCTACATCTCCAATGCATATCTCCCACAGACTGAGAACGTTCAAAACTGAATAAATCATTTCTCTATCTTCAAACCTAGTTGACTCAGCCCTCTATTCACTCCAAACACCCCATCAAAGAAAACTATTATTTGTCTCTTTTAAACAGCTATTGATAATTGGCTTTATCTAGTGTGACTTTTTTCCCCTTTACTTTCATTGATCTTTCAATTTCTTGAACACCTCATTTTCATTATTCTCTTTTCCAGGCCCCGCAAACATGCTTTCCCTCTGAAACTTTTTCTGTCCAAACTATTCCTTACACCTATGAATTCCTATTCAAGTGTCAGGCCTCAATTTAGATGTCACTTCCCCCAGAAGGTTTTCACTGATATCCATAGTTTGTATTACAACTGCATTTCCCTCCACTCATTTAAAAATGTTTATCAACGGCCATATATGTTCTAGGTACTGTCGATTTTTTAATGACTCTCATAAGGACAGCAACCAAATAAGGACAGGTCTGGAAAGTCATAGAATACCTGGAGGACATGCCAAATAAGTATTTGTTGGGTGGATATTTAGGTTACCAAGAAATGAGCCAGCCTGAGAAGGGAAGTGAGAGCATTTGGAGCAGAGATGACAGTGTGAGTCAATCACAAACAGATACAGGATTCAGGGTGGAGAACTGACTGTGTAGTTAAATAAGGTAGTGGAGGGCTTCTTCATGGATAAAGAGAAGTTTATAGCAAACATACACTATGCTTATCAAGTACATTGGTTGAAAAAGACTAAGAGAGTTGGGGCAGTAAGTAGAAAGCTATCTGAAAATAAGGAGTGGAGCATTTAATTTGTTTTCTGTAAAATTTTGAGAGATATTTAACTTGAAGGGGAATATGAAACAAAGAGATGTACATTAAATGCAAGAAGAAGAGGATTTCGTTCAGGGAGGAAAATCACAATTGTGGCAGGAAGGGAAGGAGACTAAAGCCAGGATAGAAGGACTCCTTGGCCAGGAACAAAGGAAGGAAAATACTGGTGAAACTGGAGGCAAAGTAAGGATTTTATCATTATTTTTACGGGCTGCTTGAAAGTGAGAACACAGAAAATTAGTTTTTTTCAAAAAATTCATTATCTCTGTGAAGAAAACATTGTTGTCTGCTGAAAGTTAGGAAGGGAAACATAAGAAGAATGATAAAGTTTTGGAAGAGCCAAGGCAGGAAAGAGAATGGGGATGGAACTTGAAATATGTGGAGAAGTCTGCATTGTGCTAGTAGATCATAGAGGGACTCTTTCCACTTTCAGCGCCACCATGATACATCAAGAGTTTCCAGGGAGTAATAAAATGTTTCAGTGGTGGGACCATCCAATCAAGTTTAAAGTTTTGTTTTGTTTTGTTTTGTTTTGTTTTTAATATCTTATTTATTTATTTGACAGAGAGAGGGGGAACACAAGCAGGGGGAGTGGGAGAGGGAGAGAAGCAGGCTCCCCGCTGAGCAGGGGAACCTGACCCAGGGCTCCATCCCAGGGCCAAGGCAGACACTTAACTACTGAGCCACTCAGGCACCCCAAGTTTAAAGTGTTTCTTTATCAAAGCCTATAACCATTACCCTCAGCCCTTCCTCTGAAAACCCTGCCTTTCTCTTAGGTGACACTGCTCCTGCAAATTTCCTGGGTAGAGATCTGCTTTCTAAATTAGGAGATGTTGAATTGGCCTCTCAAAATCGGACTCCTAGATCAGACTTACAAGAAATTCCATTAGCCAATCCAGATTTAGTAATCTATATTGATGGCACTAGGCCACGAATTCTGAAGGGAAATATCAAGCTGCACATGCTAGAACTATTATGAGAAATTTAACTCCATTCAGCCTGCAGAATTCTTTGCCATCACTCAAGCATGTGAGGTAGCAAAAGGCAAAGCTCCAAGTATTTACATTGACAGCAGGTATGCTTTCAGAGTGGCCCATGATTTTGGTATGCTCTGGAAATGGACAGGATTTTAAACATCAAATGGTGAACCTATCAAAATGGAGCTCAGGTTGCTGATCTCCTCTCTGCACCGTTATTACCTTCACAAATTGCTATTATCAAAATTGAGGCTCATAACCCACCAGTCAGACTTTGAATATCAGGGAAATGCTATGGCTGACTTTCATGTGAAGGCTGCTACTCAGGACATTTTGGACGCACCAAATCTCTGTAATTTAACTGAACTTCGTAAGATAGATCCAAATCAGGTTACTTCTGACAACTCGTGTAACAGATGAAAAATTGTGTCAGATATTAAAAAACAAAAATGGCACCAAGAAGGCTGCAAATTTAATGAAAAAAGGAGATATAAGAAAGGAAGACACATAGCTGTCTGGTGCTTCCCGAATCTCTCAAATTGCCACTCTCAGAAGCATTTCACATGACAACCCACCATGGAATTAACAATGTGATCCAAGTTATAAAAATATTGGTGGGGCAGAGTGCTTGGGTGGCTCAGTTGGTTGAGTGTCCCACTCTTAACCTCAGCTCAGGTCTTGATCTCAGGGTCGTGAGTTCAAGCCCCACATTGGGTTCCATGCTAGGTGTGGGGCTTATTTAAAAAAAAATAGATGATAGATAGATAGATAGATGATAGATAGATGGATAGATAGATAGATAGATAGATAGATAGATAGATAGATAGATATTGGTGGGGTGATTGTTTTACTCCAGCATGACAGGTTTATAAGCAGTGTTTAACCTGTCAGCCACAAACCCAGGTAAAACTATTAAAGTAGCTCTGAGGGTTGTTCCCTCACCATCAAGACCATTTGAACATTTACCATTGGAACTCATTCAATTGCTTCCTAATACAAGATATCAGCATGTACTTGTAATGTTGTGTCTGTTTTCTAGATGGGTAGAAGCTCTCTCTGTCAGAAAGCTGATGCTGCTACTGTAGCAAAGAAATTAGAAAATATTCTCCCACTACAGAGAACTCCATGCAAAATTTCAAGTGATGGAGGCCCTCACTTCACTGAACAGGACATAAAACAGTTGGACAAGGTTATTCAGACATTGTGGTCCTATCATTGTCTCTGTCATCCTCAGTCTTCAGGAAAAGCTGAACATACCAATGGTATTTTGAAACTGAAATCTGCAAACTGACTGAAGCCACAGAATTCTCATGGCCTAGAGTGTTACCCTTATGACTTTAAGGTCAACACCTTTTGGGAAACATAAATTGACAACGTATGCAGTCATCACTAGGGACCCGTGCCCTTGATGATAGAACCCATATACAACCTGCCCTTGTGAATTCTGATATGACCCAATACTCTAAAGCACTATACAATATTCAAAAGCTTAGTTTTAACAGGTCAAGGAGGCTTTCAGAGATCCTCCACGTGATGGAGACTTTGTACCCTGTACACCAGAACTTGGAGAGTGGCTGTTCTGGAAGAGACATTAGTGAAAAACAGCACTTGAACCTTGATGGCAAGGGCCCTACCAGGATTTTTTTTTAACTTGTCACATAGCAGTAAATTATAGGATCCATCTAACCTTGTCCATATCTCTCAGTTAAAGAGAGCTTCCCCAGACTTTGGACTTGCCACCTTACAGCTGACTTGAAATTAAGGATTAAAAAAAAAAAGTTTTCCCCTGACATAAACAATAGCACAATGTAGACAACTTCTGCCCAAGATCATGGAACAAGATTCTGCAGAATTCCTCATTTTTCTTCCCAGGACTTAATTTTACGACAATTGTTGTGTTATTACTGACTTACAAAGTAACTCAAGATGTTTAAATTTATGCTTCTCTTTATGTTGGGAATTCTTCCCACCTAGACTGAATACCCCCCTGAGGTCCACCATTCAGTGAATAGCTTTTTTACTAGTCAAAATGATTGTTGGTCATGTAGCTGTTCAAATGCTCAAGAAGACTCCCAATTAATATTATAATAAACTCCTATACATGCTTGGATGACTAATTCAGGGATATGGTTTTATGAAAAGGTCCGGTGTACTTCTCTTGGCCATTCAACTTTATGGCCAAGAAATCTGACATTACGAAGAAGCCTTAGAGGTCAAGGGATGGACCATAACCACTGTTAACTTCATTGCTGGTAATCTGTCCTATGAATAGAGAACCTTAATGGTACTGGACCTGATTTAGGGCATGTTCCAGACTCATTCTGTAATCAAACCCTTTGGTTTGATTCAGATGAAGGAGACTAGATTCCTATATACAATGACACAGATTTACAATCAGATAATGACAACAATACCGTTAAATTGTCAAGGAAATTATTGAAGCTGTGCCCTGGTTCAAAGAAAAAATCAGTAGGTAAAGAGAATGCCTCCATAATACCCCCATTATATAAAGTAAATAACAGTTTCACTTATTGGAGAGACCAATATACAGGGCACTATTGGAAAAAAAAATCAATCATTTATCAACAATAATATGATATATGGACTGCTAAACCAAATTCATAGGAACATTTTTGTTGTTTTTTTTGTTGTTCCAATTCAAATTTAAACCACAGCCCTTTAAGACGGGAGTGTGCTGATGCTTACATGACAAAGAATAACCATGATGTCCACCTTTCCTCTGATTGGTGGGTCATGGGAACTATGCTAACTCTCTCTCTTAACAATACTGGGTTATTCGTCCTTGGTGGTAATAAGATACGCAGAGTTTTCCTACTCTAATGGACTCTGAGGTTTAGGTTATCTTGCTCCCCAAACTAAAGATGAGTCCTTAAATGCTGGCCAGATTCTAAACTCAGGATCATTTTGTATAGTGACTCCTCATAAGCGAGAGCCTCATGAGCTTCAAACCCTGTTCAAAAAAGCTCTGCTTTCCATACTTTTGTCAGAAGGCTTTTTCCTCAATTAGGAGGTAATTAATTAGAAACACCACTTATTAATATTTCTGCAACTATTAAAAAAAACTTCAGTGATCCCCTAAATGCTCTCCAAGCAGTACAAACTGAAATTAATGGTTTATCTTCAGTGATGCTCCAAAACAGGAGAGTCCTTGATGTTCTTACTGCTCAATAAAGAGATGCATGTGCTATAATTGGTGAAAAATGTTTCTACATTGACAAATCATTTGTCACAATTGTTATCCAAAATCTAAATGATCTTAAAGACCAGAAGAATTTTTTCATCAGATAAGTGATACCTCTTCCATAGACCTGGTTCAGTTTGTTCAACCTTGGCTCCTATTAACCTCTGCTCTAGGGAATTTTTTAATCCTTGGCAAGTGTTCTCCTTATAGACATCATATGAACCTCTCCTTTATGTACTCTGGAGGATTTTAAGTACCTTTCAGCAGCCACTTACATACCAAATTGTATCTATCCATAAGGATCAAACAACTGGATGAAGTCAACATTAACCACACAGATGAAGATGGTGACTACGTACATGACCCTCCAGCCCAAGCCTCCAACTCATCTCATGGGAACAGCTAATAACATGAGTCTTCACCCTGACTACACCACTGTGGTAACTGAGAGCAATGTTACTGGTTGATCATGCTCTCAGTCTGCTGAGAACTTGACCAAAAAGAGGAAATTATTAAAATTAAGTACAAATGAAGAGCGCACTTGAAAATTTCCTAAGCAGACAAAACCAGTTAGTCATAGGAGCAAAGCGTAATTTCACTTATTTTGCAAGACAAATGAAGTCAACTAGATCCGGGTCTCTTCTTGCTTATGCATCTGAAAATCATAAGTGAAACTTAAATAGGTCCCCAAAATTGATATGAAGTCACTGCTAACCAATTCCCTTTCATTTCAGAAAATTCTCATATTGTAACCAATCGCTGTAAAAATTAAGCTCTCACTGCCTTCACACTATAAAAGCTGCCTTATAACAATATACCTCTGAGCCTCATTCATGTTTTGGTTTGAGTGCTCCCAGTTTGCAAGCTGTCTTTTTGGTGTGTGCACCATAAGCTTTCGCTAATTACTACTTAAGTGATTCACTAGTCTTGCTTCTGTTTGTTATGAACTTTTGACAGGGAATCGTACCTTGAAGTGTTAGGACTCAGAAAATAGATGATTATGAACAATTCCTGAATTTTTCTCCTGTCATAATTTTTATTATTGGCAGGTGTTCTAAAATCTTCTGTGGTCTATTTTAGTTACTGGTGCAAATGGAAGCTATACAAATGCTTTCATAGAAGTTTGAGCTAAATTAAAGCTAACAAATGAATGATCGAAAAGGGGAGTTAATGTGAAAAGTATAATGTAGATTCCATCTATGTTCATTACTAAAAAGTAGCAGAAAGTACCATAGGTAATGCATTTGTGGTTAGAACTCTATTAGTCCATTAAACATCAGTCATAGTTTTCTTTCAGCACATCTTAATTTTCAACGTAAATATTTTTCTGACAGCTAGGTATGTGTTTTGAAGAAAATGAAGTTTGTTTTATTCATGGTTGGGAGATTTGCATGTACTGTATGATTGACACAGAAAGAAATATTATGTTGAGCAATTTTATGACAGACATGCCCAAGGCAATTCAGATGAGAGAATTAATAACAATGCAAGCAAAAGAAATTCCTTATTAAAATTTTGTTAAATGGAAGTATAATTCATTAAAGATTATATCATTATAAAAATCCATCATGCCAGTGGGGACTTCTATGGCCTTGCTTAGTAAATTTTACATGATTTTTATGTCCTGAAATTGTGTAAAGTTAAATTTACTTGTGCCCTCAAATGTTAGATTTTTTTTTTATGGAGCACCAAAATACTAGCACAAAGTCTATAACCATGTCAAATTCCTCAGGCATTTTAACATTTCAAAGAAAAAAGTAAAATCATATTCAAAGTTCTTCACAAAGCCTTCTTCTGATAATAAAATGAATGTATTTGCATTAGAAAATTTGGAAGAGGGGCGCCTGGGTGGCTCAGTCGTTAAGCGTCTGCCTTCGGATCAGGTCATGATCACAGGGTCCTGGGATCGAGCCCCGCATCGGGTTCTCTGCTCTGCGGGAAGCCTGCTTCTCCCTCTTCCACTCCCCCTGCTTGTGTTCCCTCTCTCGCTGTGTCTCTCTCTGTCAAATAAATAAAATCTTTAAAAAAAAAAAAAAAGAAAAGAAAATTTGGAAGATAAATGCAACCTCTTGATTTCAATTGTAGTTTCTCCTATATCTTAATATGCATGTTTTTCCATAGTTGACATATTACTAAATGTAGCAAATAGGAATTTTACATTGTTGAGAACTCAAGTGTGAAATAATTGTATATTTTTTAATTTCTTCTTAACAGAAATTCACTTCTAACTCTAGCCTCTATTCTGCCTGATGACAGAAAATTTGATGTAGTTATTTCAGGCTTATACTTGGTCCCTTTTGGGTAAGACAAGTCAATCTAAGTTTCTTTTTCAGTAGGCTAGCATCTAACTTCCCTGGGCCCTCCAAACTACCGGTTTGTGAGAACTAGTGGGTGTGTCCATAACCTCCCTGGAAAACTATTAAGACATAACCATTCTGTCTTAGGTCTTGGAAAAGAGATTCTATTAAATTTATAATATATTAGAATCACACCCATTCCATTTTAAACCGAACAGGAAAAACAACTCATTGCTTCTCAAACCCAGCTAAAAGGATTTTCCATGAGAGGGCCCCAGATATGTACAAAGTGGTACTCTAGTAAACCTTGTCCACTGTATTCTGCCTTGTTGGAAGGTAATGTGGTAATATGGAGCTAATATGGACATGTTGCTAGTAGTTGATGCCCTCTTTTAACTTCAGATGGAACATGCTACATATAAACAATAGCCTCAGGTATGCTGCTCCCTAGAGTTTCAGCCTGAATAGCTAGCTACCTTCAACTTTCTGATTGCAAAACTTAAAAGTTTGGCCACTCCTTTGGGGATAGCTGTCTTCCTTGTAGAATCACTCTGATGATTCTAGCTATCTATCTTCTTTGCATATTTTTATGTTTTTACTTCCTTCTATCACTTCAAAGCTCCTTCTTCTCCAGCTTAGAAAAAATTGATCAAGTCCAAAATGAGGGACATGAGTTTCTCCAATATTTATTATTAATTGCATAAAATCTACGTTTGGCTTCCCCCAGGTTTAGCTATTTTCATTTTCAAAATACCCATCTAGCAATTCAGAAATCTCAGCTTTCAAAAAATGTGACCCTGCTATATCTGTAAAGATTATTCTACATTATCTTTTGGTATTGAATGCTTTTAATTCAATGAAAGAATAGGCTCAAGAAATGGTTTTGGTAGTGAAGTTACAATGAGGTCATTTTGGTAGAAACAAAAATAGCAGTTAGTATTTCCAATGTATATTAAATGTATATGAAATTTCATACCTTCTTTTACTCACTTGACATTATAAGATGAAAAATCCCTCAGATTATTATCACATCTCCTCAAATACACTCATGAGATATTTGTGAGATATTAACTGAATCAGGCAGCTCTTCTGCACCACTTCATATTCTATCTGCCTCAACTGTACTTGTTTCACATATGTGAGGGCTCTGATTAACTTTGCGCAAGCACAAACTCACAGTGCCTCACGTGATGCTTTCACCTTGTGCCTGGCATTCTCAGGCTTCTCTGTGCATGATAGGGAGAGACTCCACTTAGCACTGATGATAGGAGCTGGCATAGAACAATAGCGAAGCTAGATTGCCCACCAATGCAATGGCAATAAAGACTTAATTGCTGGTGGTCAATGAGGTTGTGATAATCCCTGACATGCAGTGACATCATAATTACCGTGCTTTTGCCTGAGGTTAATTACGGTGAGTTGCAGGTGACAGAGGAAGCATCACAAAAGGTAACTGTGATGATTAAATGATATGGAGACAATGGTTATTTATAAATTGTGCTCTATTCTTATGACCACATTAGGAGGTCTTGAAAAAGAATATGGTGGTCAGGAAAGCCAACTGCTAAGGTAAGACATTCTTCGAAAATGGTCAGTTTTGAAGGAGACACTCTTTTCTTGCAGGCTCGAGGCCAAACTGCTTAAAATTAAACCCATTATTTACAAAGCTACAAAGAGCCTCAAAAGAAGCTGAATATATAGCTTTGAAAAACCTCCGATGTCTAAGTCAGGGCTCTAATAGGAAAAACAAGGTAGATCCCCAAAATTTCTATCTTCTGTTAGGAACATTTGACTGGCTGAGCCTGAAACTCCTGCGCTCCTCACATCATCTGAACCTTCCAGGCCAGGAAGAACAATCCTTTTCACCTTGAGTGAGCAGAGTGGCTTCTCTTCTCCCAGAGGCATGCCCTCACTGGAGATTTTTTTTTTCTCCTCGGATTCTGCATTTCTACCTCTAGTGTTTCCAGCTTGGTAACCAGACCAAGGTCTTTGCAGGACCAGACTCTGAGAGGAATAGCCCACATGTTGAAGGAATTTCAGGATCTAACCAAAATATAGTGTCAGTAACCCTGTAAACATATTTGGGATTGGATCACGAAGATGTTGCAACAAGAGACAAAGAATTAAGGGCTTGATAGAAGTTTTACAAATGTGGGAGCATGTAAACATGATTCAGAATTCAGAGTTCTGGCATGGGAACCTAAATTGGTCTCAATATTTTGTTGAATGGCTCTCTGAAACCTCAGAGGAATGATGAGCTGTAGTGAATTAGGAGAGAGATCCAAATATTTTTGGCAAATTATAAGATGTATAACAAGTCTCAAAAATATAAGAATATAAGAATTGGGGTGCCTGGCTAGTTCAGTGGGTAGAGCATGAGACTCTTGATCTCAGGTTCATGAGTTCAAGCCTCATGTTGGGCATAAAGCTTACATTAAAAAAAAAAAAAGAATATTGGAATTGATTCTTTATGAAAGATCCCAGAGTGCGTACCATAAAGCATGTTCTCTTGTGAGGGTTCAGACTACATACCTGCAGAAATCCCGCGTCCCGGGTACTAATGGAGGGAATGGAGGGGCCGGCATGTTTGAGAAGCACAGTGGAAACTGACCTTGGTACGCTGGGGTTACCTCTAGTAGATGTTAGAAAACAAAAACAGAAACTCCCTAGCATCCCTATCAGGTAGCTCTCAGAGACAAACGGGCCATAATTGCTACGATAGGCATTAAAGCCACAAGGGCAATAATCAGTGTCTACATCCACAGAGATCGGTGGCAATGACTAATAGATCATGGAATTACTGGGGTCAAGATAGATGAATGGCCAAATAAGTTGGTACTCAACTTGTCTAATAACAAACAACTGATAGCTGGTGAGTAGAGGCTGATGTCAGTTTCTATAATGGACAATTGAAGCCCCTCACTAGTTCATTGCCACAGAGTCCTTGAAGCAAAAAGTAGCAAATTCAGAAAGTGACCTAAGGCTTAGGGTAAGGTCAGGGTAAGGTTTTACTGGGTAAAGGAAAATGTCTGGATTATTTAATAACAGAAACAGGTTCTGAGCTGACAGTGTGAGAAACAATGTAGCTTATGATTAATACTTCTTGTACGGCTACTAAAAATAATGTGTTAGCTAGCAGAAGTCTTTAAAAACAAAAATACTATTGAATTTAGTTATTTAGTTAATGGTGACAATTTGATAGATACTATCAATATATGTCACCTCCTCTTAGATGAACAAAATACCAAGAAGCACTGGTATAAAGATTATAGAGATCTACTGAAAATGCTTTAGGCTCAAATCCAGAATTATTATTTTGAATTGAACATATTCAGCACTTTAAATTCATCTAGCTGGAACTTTCTCCTTAAGTATGATTTTATTTATGTTAAAATGAAACACTCGCTTCATTTCAACACAGAGATTAATGCGTTTTCAGTTCAGTTATTCTATGTAAAAAGATTTTTATACATATTATTTATCTACATAATACCATTTAATATGTGATAGACATACCATCTATATGCAATGCATATATAGTATTATACATATACAGTGTTATAAATACAGTTTTTTTAACATATAATGTATGATTTGTTTCAGAGGTACAGGTCTGTGATTCAACAGTCTTATACAATTCACAGTGCTCACCATAGCCCATACCCTCTCACCCCCACCACTCCAGCAACCCTCAGTTTGTTTCCTGCATTTAAGAATTCCTCATATCAGTGAGATCATATGATACATGTCTTTCTCTGATTGACTTATTTCGCTCAGCATAACACCCTCCAGTTCCATCCATGTCGTTGCAAATGACAAGATATCATTCCTTTTGATGGTTGCATAATATTCCATAGTATATATATACCACATCTTCTTTATCCATTCATCTGTCGATGGACATCTTGGCTCTTTCCACAGTTTGGCTATTGTGGACATTGCTGCTATAAACATCAGGGTGCACGTACCCCTTTGGATCCCTACATTTGTATCTTTGGGGTAAATACCTAGTGGTGCAATTGCTGGATCATAGGGTAGCTCTATTTTCAACTTTTTGAGGAAACTCCATACTGTTTTCCAGAGGGGGAAAAAAAAAAGAAGAAGAAGAAGATAGCAGAAGGGGAAGAATGAAGGGGGGCAACTCGGAGGGGGAGACGAACCATGAGAAACTATAGACTCTGAGAAACAAACTGAGGGTTCTAGAGGTGAAGGGGGTGGGGGGATTGGTTAGCCTGGTGATGGGTATTAAAGAGGGCACGTTCTGCATGGAGCACTGGGTGTTATACACAAACAATGAATCATGGAACACTACATCAAAAACTAATGATGTAATGTATGGTGATTAACATAACATAATAATAAAAAATAAAATAAAATGAAATGAAATGAAATAAAATAAAATAAAATGTATTATGCCAAAAAAAATAAATACAGATTAGATAGTCTCATCATACTGCCCATCTTAGAAGTTAAAAGCCTCAGTATAGAATGATTTGCTTTAGAGCTACATCAAATATTTCATGTAGACTAAGATAAGTAAAACAGCTATGTTTCAAAAGAGATTCATAATGAAGTTATTAGAAAGGTAGGTAAAAGGATTTTAGGCACAAAATTCAGCAACATATATTTTATGTAGTATATAATATGTTTGTTAGGTAGAAGAAGCTAGATATGAGCAGTGGAAGGAAAGTTCTAAGGAAGCTTCATCCCTTGACCAGAAAAATTATGGGGCCCTAAATTCTTGAGGTGGGAAAGGTAGAGTAGGCAGTTAGTTAGCCATGAGCTGGAAGCAAGGATGGTGATAAATAGGTATCACATTAGAGAGCACAACAATCTTTGTAGGAAGAGTCCCGCAAAGGATTGGAAGCTGCCTCCATTAGAGACCACCCTGTCCATGACACAAGACCCACCCCCCCAACACACACACATAAAAGGAAAGAACCCTCAGGGCAGTAGCCACCTCTGGGACTGCCTGCTCCCCCACATTGAGAGTGTTTTGTCCTTAACAAAACTCTTTTATCCTTTCACTCTGGGCAGCGATCTCTAATTCTTTATTGTGTAGGTGCCAGGAGCCAAGACACACCCTTTTGCGCTGACACGTTTATATAATAATTGTATTTTTCCTTTGGAAACATTTCCTTTGGTAACAATATTTTTTATTTTTTAAAAACAAGCAAGTTTTAAATAGATAAGTGTTTATGCAGCATTAACTTAAGATTGTATAGTTAATCACATTATTGACAATATCAGAAATTAAAAAACAATAGCTTATGCAAGTTAGAAGTGTCAGTATGTTCTTCAGCTCAGATGGAAGACATAAAGATGTTTTTCCTGTTTGCTCAATTTAATATATTCCTTAAGAAAACACTTCCCATTGAACAAGGTATTCTACTATGTTTAGTATTTTAAAAACTCAAGTGCATCACTGCAAGCAGTAATACAATTTTGAGAATGGAATTAACAATTTAATACTTTTAGTCCCCTCTATTACAAAGTAGATTTTCTATAGAGATGTATATGCAACTCTGCCAACATAATACATTTCTCAATTCAATAGGCTTTCCCTTGAATCTATTAGTTTCTTGAAATGGAACATAGGCAGTGCTTTGAAAGACAGTGTTTCTTTTCCCAAATGGCCCCAAGATGAATTTTGTGAGTTAATCATTCAGTAAACAAATATTTACTCAAATCTTCTAAGTATTAGATGAGCAATGTAGAGCGTAATAGATGAAGTTGCTGATTCCAAGGAGTTTACATATCTTTTAAATAATCTAATAAGACATAGTGCTAAGTACAGACATATGCTAATAAGAAGATAAAATGTGAGAGAGGGTGAATTGAGTAGCTGCTCTAAAAAGGACAACAATTATAAATGTCCTGAAAGGAGAGCCCACTTCTTGTGTTTAAGCACAGAAAAGTCTGGTGGCCAGAATAGGGTGAATGGGAGGGGGAGGAAGAGAGGTGAGAGAGATACTTGACACCATAAATGCTTTGGATTTTATTTTAAGTATAAAGAAGATCTGCTGGAGAGTTTTAAATTGAAGGGTGGCGTGATAGGATTTAATCTGCAGAAAGAGCAGAGGGACCAGCAGAAGGCAAGAATGGGCAAAGGGAAACCAGTCAGGAGACCGTTGTAAACATTTAGAAGAGAGATGGTGATGTCCTGAACCAGGCGGTGCAACAATGCAACTTAAGATCTATTTTGGAAGTAAATTCTAAAGAACATAACGTTGAATTGGATATGGGATATGAGAGGAAGGGCAGAATAAAAGATGATGTGGTAGATAAAGGTGATGCCACTTACTGAGATTGTGAAAGGTCAGAAGATAGGAGATGGACATGGTGGAGGGGAAGTAAGAGTCATTAGTTCTCTTCGCATCTCATTAAGTCTTAAATACTAGTTAGTTATCCAACTGTCTTAGTCTGTTCAGGCTGCTACAACAAAATCAGACAGGTGGCTTATCAGAAGTAGAAATTTATTTCTCACGGTTCTGGAAGCTGGAAGTCCAAGCTCAGAGCACCAGCATGGCCTAATGAGGGACCTTTTCCAGGTTGCAGACTTCTCCTTG